CTCTGGTGACTGCACACTGCTTTAACTCCAGGATCATCACTCATGCTCAAAAGATACAGAGAAGAAAAAAAAAAATGTTGTTCTCTGTAATAAAGCTTTTATTATTGCAAAAAGCGATACACTCACTTTTACGTAAAGAAAAGCCTTCAGTCTCGGGATGGCCACAAAAGGGCAGCGCTGCACAACATCTCCCTATTCCTGCATTAGCTTCACCATACACCAACCTCCTCTGGCTAAAACAACACAGGCAACAGACTCCTCCCTCTCCACATGATCCCTAAGGTCCATCCAACCAGTTTCATTGGAAATGATGTCATCACTGCCCCTTGTCCAGTCACCACAGATCTTATCCCTTCAGTTTTTTTGGTGGACTTTACATAGCGGTTTTATATTCACATCTATATCAACCTTTAACTCTTATCCAGGTCTGTCCTGATTTATTCTCACTTGAATATTGAATTGGAGATAATAATGATCCCGGAGTCATCCTCCCAGTAAAGGTTATAATTTCTGTATGGTTTGTAGCAAGCGTACACCCAGAGATGGACGCGGTTCAACCATTTTGGCTTCAACCTTCATCTTGGCAAAGGGTCAACCATCTTGACAAACATATTTTCCCCTCATTCTCCCCCTTCCTCTCTGTTCATACACATTGACATATGGCCTGTGTGTTAGGAGTGTCACAGGCTGGCCAGGGCACAGCAGGGAGCCCCAGAGCAATAAAACATTTTTGAGCTAAAGCGTCTGGTTGTCTAAGAGAGCTGTGCAATCTAACACCTTGTAAAAGATAATGTAAGCCTTCCCAGGAGTTCAAAGACATTCCAGAGAAGCACGAAACCAGATAACACTTTTAAAATCCATTTTTCCCCTATGTCTCATATCTTGGAATATGAGAGACTTACAAAAAAAACAGGCATATACTCAGATTGGCCACAAGGAGACCAACAGTTTGGTATGTCACTCTCCTTGGCTGGGATACATAGGAAAGCAGAAAAGTAGATCTCTTGAACCATTCAGTGTATAATTTTAACTTTCATATCTTATCATTCCTCAGATGCGTCTTCATAATAATCTATCCGTGGGAGGAATGTCAATTGTGCATAGGGAAAGTTATGAGCCAAAATATGAACTATAAGAGATTTTGGCTCTAGTTTAGGCCTACACCCAGACCTTCCCTCCCTAAACGGGACATTGGTCCTTGACTTCAGAGACACCCCCTGCTAGCTAACTACAAAATGGGCTGGCAGGCCTACGAAAGTTAAGTTGAAGAATTCTCCCTTTTACCATCAGAACCAACCTGGGAGACGTGCCCTTTTTGATTTGAAACTTGATCTGCAAACCAAAGGCTGATTGGCAAGTCCTTTAACCTCCTGTTACCTCTTTGCTGTGCTGTTGTTCTCTGTATATTTATATATATATTGGTTACATCTTTTTTCTGTAAATATTTCTATTGCACCCTTTTGACCTTTAAGTAATAAATCTTTCCTTCTGAAAGTGATGAACTGTTTCTATAGCTCTGTATTGCAACTTACGAATTCCTGCCTCTAAAAGAGCGCTACTGTGTTTAACCCTCGGTATAACCGGTCTGCGGTGACCGTGCTATACAGACGATTATCTCAACCATCATAGTGGTGTAACTGATATCGCCGAGTTTCCTCTTTCTCTGTACAAAAAGGAGGTGGTGGCAGTGTGAAGGGTTAATTGCGCAATTAACCTGACCCAGTAACAATCGCTCCCAGGCTGCCGGTACATCAATTGTGTTCCAATTAGCTGGAAAATCGATGTGCAGGGTGCAGCTGGGTGTGGCATTGTTACGCACGTGACATCGCGGTTTTAGATTGGCTAGTCCTTCGGTCACGAGTTTGGTGAGAAGGTCAGGGGTCTGACGCCGCGATCATCACATGGTTAATAACGACTATGCACTACTAGGTAGCTTGCACAATAAGCCCACTAGTGTTTTACATTACAATTTACGTAGTAGGACTTGAAATTGAAAGAAAATTGCCTGTGCAGCTAATCTATAACATGTCGCTAGAATGGAGTACAATAGATTTTTTTTACAGTAAAATAAAGATGGAAAAGGAAGGTATTCATTAATAAGAAACAAACATTCTTTAAATATAAAATTGGGTGCAGCGCTATAACAATACCAGGATATAATGCAGTACACAATAAAAGATCTTCGACCTGTATTATGGTCATCTAAATCTAAAAATGCAATACGAATGATCATAAAATTACAGATCTAATCCCATAAGGAGGTCATCAATATCAAATAAGCAAGTGTCACTACTGGTGGTGATTCAAAGTGACAAGGTGCAAATATACATACAAGGTGCTCATAGGCGTGATTAAAGTGATATAGTCCTTATATAGAAAATAGACGTGAAGTCTCAAATAAGGGTGATCCTTTAAAGATTCTTCTGGTGAAAATTGTTAAAATTACGCACTCACCAGATGCGCAATAATGTAGCGCATTTAAGAACATAAATCTCATGGGGTCAGCTGGATCATCCTGTGGGCATCTATCCCTGGTAAGGACTCACTCCTAAATATTTTATATTTAGACTTTTTGGTGTATACAGCAGCTTGCCAATTAGCGCTCACTCTTGCACATTTTTTTACAACCATTCTTTAAATGACCACACACTGCAGCACAGTAACAGAATAAATATAGAACAGCAAAACAAAAAATGAATAAGTTGCTTTTCAGATTGGTCACCAATATCTGTTTAGAAACGTTACTGCTTAACGCTACAGCATCTAAGTTCTTATTAGAAAGACAGGGTATCCACAGGTTACAAAAAGTGTAGAGGTAAAAAAAAAAGTGCAGGAAAAATCATGTTATTTTACAAGTCTTTATAAAAAAGGTCCCTAATATTTCTAACTGAAAAGCAGTTTTTGAAAGGGCAGTGGTTTTTGGGTTAATAACATTACAGAAAAGAATACAAAAAATTCCAAACAGCCCAAGGGCAGGTGTTGGCAGTTTTTTCCCCATACAAGTCTTAAGGAATGTAAAAGCAGATTGAAGCAGGTTAAAACCTTGGTCACACTTCCCGGTAACACTACTTCTGAGAATCTTCCAGGAAAGCTCTACTTGAGAGATGATTGGCTCCGCCTTCAGCAGGAAACAAACCATAAAGATATTAAAGCGGAGCTCCGCCCAAAAGAGGAAGCTCTGCTTGAAGGCTTTGTCCCCTGATCCCCATTAAGGATTGGCACCTTTGGGAAGCGAGGGGGGGGGGGGGGGGGGAGAGGGGTACCCGAATTTGACAGGCACCCGCTACCACTTCCACTGTGATCACCTAGGCATGGAAGTTTTTTTTCCCTCGCTCTAGTCTTCAGGGACACGTGACAGGTCCCAGAAGACTATGGGACCATTCACAAAGCGTAGCGCTACACGCGCATGAACAGTGTGCACCCAGCTGTGAAGCCGCAAGCTGTCACAGCTGGGTGTCCACACTGAAGATACCGGCGCTGAGGAGGGAGGTTGGCTGGTGCAGTAAGGAAACCGCGGGATCGAGGGGCAGGTGAGTGTACGTTTTTTAAAAATTAGCAGCTACAAATTTTTGTAGCTGCTGACTTTTATTATTTTTAAATTTGACTAGAGCTCCGCTTTAAAAAGCCCTTCCCTCCCCCTCATCTCCAGTTGCTATAAGCAAAGAACCTCCACCAATGAACACAAGAGGAATATTTAGGGAAAAAATGCAACCATTTCAAAACACTATAACTTTAAACTATAAACATTTGTGTGGGACACTGTCCTGGAAGATTCTCGATAATACTGTCATCAGTATGTATAACCAAGATTATCCCAAATCATCTTTCAGGACAGCTACTTGACAGAATAAACAAGCAAACATACTATGGGGTGGGGGAACTAATGCCAGCAACACCTTCCTTCCTTCCTGGCTGGACAAACACACGAGAGGTATCACTTCACAAAAGAATGGCATGAGGAATATACTGCAGTCTTAGAGAATTCTTCCCACGAATAACCTGCCCTCTTTGCTTCTGATGTGGCCATCAACCACGAGAAGTGAGCTCGAATTGTAGCAGGAGGTAACAGAGCAGAGCTGATTTATGCTGAAATTATAGTGTCTCTAATCCATCAGGCCATGATACCGAGCCCAAGATGGGACCACTATATAAGGCTAGCATTTGGGTAAATCTCTTGCCAATCTAATTTCAAGAAAAACCCATAAGGGTCGCCATTTGCCCCTTAAGGGTACTGGGAACAAATACTTTTTAACTCCTTCCTTGAGTAAATCCAGAACTGCAGGAATTGAATATAAATGTATACCAATTATTTTCTGCCAGGAATAAAAAGGTCTTTCAAGCTTTAGTTTATAGGGTATTCACTTTACAGCTAGGTGTTAGCCCCCTTTTCTGAACATTCTTTTCTCAACAATCCTCCTCTCAGCCTCCAAAGTATTAGGTAAAAAAAAGCATCGGGCTGCCATAGTTGTCTGCATTAGCCAAGTGACAAGGTCCAGCACGTCTTAAGCTTGGTTCATATTAGTGCAACTTCAAAGTTGAGCGAAGTGCGACTTTGGAGAGCGGCTTTCATGCAAGAGTCACAAGAAAGTTGCATAAAATTAGTGCAGGAACTATTTAACCGCTAGCCTACAGGGCACTTATAGCCCCTTCCTGCCCAGGCCAATTTCCAGCTCTCAGTGCTGTCACACTTTGAATGACAATTGTGCGGTCAAACAACACTGTACCCATATGAAATTTTTTATCGTTTTTTTCGTGACAGATAGAGCTTTATTTTGGTGGTATTTAATCACCTCTGGGTTTTTTATTTTTTCTTAAACTCCAAAAATCACTGAAAATTTTGAAAAAAAATGTTTTTTCTTAGTTTTTGTTTATAACATTTTGTAAATAAGTGATTTTTCTCCTTCCCTGATGCACTGATAGACTGATGGACACTGATAGGTGGCACTGATGGGCATTGACAGGCATCACTGATGGGCACTAAAAGGCAGCACTGATAGGTAGCACTGATAGACGGCACTGACTGGCACTGATAGGCAGCACTGACTGGCACTGATAGGGATTGATAGGTGACACTGAAAGGCAGCTCAGATGGGCACTGATATGTGGCATTGATGTGCACTGGTAGGCACTGATATGTGGCACTGGCATGAGGCACCGATGAGCACTGACATAAAGCACTGATGGACACTGACAGGTGGCACTGCTGGGGCTACACTGATCATCAGGGCACACTGATCATCAATGCCCTGATGATCAGTGTACATGTCCCCTCCGCGGAAAGCCGATTACCGGCTCTCCTCTCCTCTAGAGCTGGCAGCGTGACAGCTCGAGGGGAGAGACATGCTGATAACTGGCATTTCCCTGTTTACATGTGATCAGCTGTGATTGGACACAGCTGATCACATGACCGAGCGGACATCTTCGGCTCTTTCCGTGATCGGTGACCCGCTGTGTCCGAGGGACACAGCGCACCGCCAATCGCCACGCTGCGCGCTCCCTGAGCCGCGCATGCGCAGTGAGAATGGGAGGACGTCATATGACGTCCTCCCAGAACGAGAGAACCACCTTGCGCCCGTAATATTACTATATGGCGGGCGGGAGGTGGTTAAAGTCACTGTGACTTCAGTTGCATGAGCTGAGAGTTTTATGTGTTTAAAGTCGCATGACAAGTCACACTAGTGACTAAAGGGAAGGAACCCTCAGATAAACTTGACCAAGAAAACAAACATATCAGGACCTAATCATCTGAAGGGGGCCCGACAATGACAATTATCAGAACCAAGGGAAAACTAAACAAACATGAAGTGTACTCCTGGATGGTCTAAAACACAAAACAACTGAGGATGACTGGGAGAGGTGGCTTTTTAATCTCTTTTTTGCTTGCATTTCCTGTTGAAGATGGAGCCAAAACATCTTTGTCCTGGAAGATGATTTGGGAAAGATGAATTCCAGGTATTCATATTTTATACATAGTTATATTGGTGCGGCTTGAACCAATGTCATTTTGGGTATACCATACTTGGCCAATGCCCCTGGAACCTGGAAAATCACTGAGGTAGTCACTGCTACTCCTGTGATCCCCATTTGCTTCTGGGCCCTGTGCCGAGCAGTTGGGTCTGCTGCATTCTGAACAAAGGAGGTTGGCCATTCATCAAAAAGTGACGTCCAGAGAATGCTTTGCATTGGACGAGCTGAGCTAGAGAGGCAGGACAGTGACGTCATGCTCTCCATCTGGTCCAGTCAGAGAATGTTACCGCCTCTCCACCTTGTCCAATCAGAGTGCATCCATTCAGAAAATACAAAGCATTCTCTGAATAAAGGCAGTGCCAAGCAGCCAACCTCCTGTGCTTAGAATAAAGCAGGCCAGCCACTCGGTACAGTCTGACCATGCAATCTTTATACAATCAACTTTAGATTTACCAAAACAATATAACATGGAGGATCTACCAAATATGTCCCATTATTTGTATCCAATCATGCAGGCGCTTGAACTACATAGCACTTGGTAAATTTAAAGTGTATTTATGGTCAAATTGTAAAATCATATATTATTTTTTACATTGTATTTCAATTATTTCTAGCCTTCTTCTCTCACTAATCTGAGTGGTCTCGAAGTTTTTAAATTTACTTTGTGAAGTTTCCCACACAGTTATTTCTTGGAATTCTGTGACACATATTCACTCTGCCCTGCTGAGTCACACATTTCACAGAGCCTGCCTTCTAAAACTACAGAGGTGCTGAGAGCAGGGTTTCCGAAAGCAGAATCATTATTGGAATCAATGTATCCAAGCAGCAATGCATAATGGGATATGCAATCCTTAGAAACTGAAAGTAAACAGCAGAAGAGAAGCTGCAGAGCATGCAGGAAATCCAGCAAGTTGTGGGAAGAGAGGGTAGCAAACTGCACTAATTCTAAGTTCGATTGTCAAAAATAACTATTGTCCAGGGTTGTCAAACATATGTAAATGTATGGGCTGTTTGTAAATTTTACCCATTTACGGCCTGTCTGTAAATGTTCGTTTAAAGAAAACGGCCTTGGGCTGACTTTCCAACCACAGCTAGGCACAGGCAGTGGTGACTGACTGTGATATATTTTAACTGCATTATGTCCGCAGCCTCTAACCATCTCCTGTATCATGCCTGCAGCCTCTAACCATCTCCTGTACCATGTCCGCAGCCTCAAACCATCTCCTGTACCATGTCCGCAGCCTCAAACCATCTCCTGTATCCTGCCAGCAGCCTCAATTCATCTCCTGTATCATGTCCACAGACTCTAACCATCTTTTTTGTACCATGTCCACAGCCTCTAACCATCTCCTGTATCCTGCCTGCCGCCTCTAAACATATCTTGTAACATGCCTACAGCCTCTAAGCATCTTCTGTACCATGTCTGCAGCCTCTAACCATCTCCTGTGCCATTGTGACTAAACCAATTAGCGTAGTCAAAATTAATCCAAACAGAGTACACCAAAAAAAACACAAAAATAAAATTAATTATGTAAAGTGAACATAAACAATTGCAAGCTGTGCACTCCAAAGTGAATTGACAACACTAAAAAGTAATCCTTTTTAAATTAAAAAAAAAAAAAAAAAAAAAAAAAAAAAAAAAATCGGTGCTCTTCGTGTTTCCACCACCAATTTACAAATGGCCGCTCACCTCAAACAACGAAACCCCTGCTTTACTAGTCAGGTCATAAAGCATTTGCCCCCTTCTTGAGTAAAGAACTCTTGGTGTGGTCATATATCCTTCTTCCCAGTTAGGTCAGTCACTTAAAAGGGCAGGAATACATGTATAAAGGCAGAAGGCATCTATTGTTCTCTGTTTGAATAACAATTTATTAGAGAATTTAAAAACACACAATAGCCAGCTCTGAGACCAGTGGCGAGGTGGTGCTACATATAGCAGTAGCTATAGGTTTATAGCTTAAATATTGATATTTAATATTGATATTTACACTGTTTGCATTTAAAAACTGCCATTTTATGTACGTTTTTTTAAATGTCAGTAAAATAATGTGGCTCTGTCAGTAAATTTCATGCTTTCTGCCAGAAGAAAAATAAAATTGGGTGCGGTTTGTAATTTATGTGCATCCTGTAAGAAAATTTCACTTCAGAGGGTTGGCAAAACTGCTGTTGCTTGTATTGCAGCAATTACAAGGCGTTGATGTTACAAAATGAAAGTGTATGCTCTCACCATAGATTGTAACATATGTGGTTAGAGCTTATGGGTCACCACACATGTACCAATCTGCCCATATAATATTTGTACAACCAACCTTAAATTTAACAAAACTTTATGGAGGACATACTTAATCTGTCCAATCAATTTGTATCCAGTCAGGTAGGTCCTTGCACTACATAGTTGTTGGTAGATCTACAGATGATTGATGTGTGTGGTGAGGTTAAGACCCAGAGCTGTTAACCCCTGTAGTATCAGAAATTCAGAGCTGTGAAGGGACAGATTTCTTTAGGAACCATAATCTTGCAGGACGTGGGCCATTTAAAACAAGTTAGTAAAAAAATATAATTAAGGCTGTTTTTAAACTGTTACATTTTTCTTCCGCTTTTGCGTTAAACAAAATGGAAGAAAACGCGTGACCATGTATTCTTATGGAACTCTTCACACTGATCTGTTGAGGGTCTGGTGTGGTTTTTAAAAACTCTGTTTGAAGCATTTTTGGTGCAGGTTTCATTTGGTAAAAAAAAAAAAAAAAAAAAAAAAAAACTGCATGAAAACTTCAGCTCCCTATTGAAATCAATGGAAAATGCAACAAGGTGCATTAAAAAAAACACACCTGCGCTGCGTTTTTTATACAGTTTTTGAGTCACATATCCTGTAAAAAAGCAGCAAAAGCGCATATGTGTTTTTGCCATGGATCAGTGTACAAGTAGCCTAAACTTCACTTTAATACTGATAACCACCCTAACATGCACCATAAACTGAGGATGACCTAAAAGGGTCATTAAAGTATATTTTATTGCTGGTTAGTAAGAGAAAGGGCAATTTAGACATTTGAAGTATTGCATCCGAAGGTGGCCATGACATCTACAGCTGCATTCCATAAAGCAGAATGCACACCATTTAATGTACAAGTGGCCTGGAATGCAGCAATTCCAGGCAATCTAATGATCTTTAGCCAGGTTCAACAGATTTAAGTGCTTCTAGGAAGAATTGCAGCCTTGTAGCTTTTTTTTTTATTAAAAATCAAGTGATTTAAATATAAAAATAGCCTCGCAATCCTTATTGCTGAGTTTAATCTCCATTGTGAGATGGAGAAGAGAACAGCAATTCAAAATTTCTCATACCACAAATTCCGTTTTCAATGGTCTCGGTGGCTTCAAGACCCTAACTGCTCTGTCAAGTGACAACTATAATAACATATTAACATACTATAGCCAAGGCATCTGACTGGTGCCTTCCCCCCCCCCCACCCCCTCCTCCTTCTACGGTTATCACACTTCCAACCATATAAGGTTCACAATGAGCTAAGTATACCTCTCAAGTATCCATGGCCTTGTTATATAGTCAATCTGTATATATCTTGCGAGCCAAATAGTATGTGGCAAATAGCCACCTTGTGGCACAACTCGGGACAAAAATATATGTCCTTGATATTACTGGATCGCAAACACCCAACACATAACTACCACTGTGTACACAAATTATTTCATCATCTTGTGTTGCGCTCCTTATTAAATTATAGTGACAAAGTGAATATTATATTTCATAATGTTACCTGAACATAAATAATCATAAATTCATATATAGAATAATAACTTATAAAAAAGTATAATATTAATCCATATTCATGATTAAATAATAAATAATGATTAATTGTGAATCATAATTTAGTGAAAAAATATAAAAATTACCGTGAATAAATACTCATAAAATAAATAAATAAATTTTTAGTGCAAAAAGCATAGTCCCATTAATCATAAAAATATATATAAAGTGACTCTGTGTCCTAAAAATCTTGAATCCGTGACTGATTGTGAATCCGTGATAAAAAAATATTTGTGAATCCTCCAATTAGTGCAGATGTAAGCTCACCTCCTGATATGCCTGCAATTAGGCTATAACACTTTTGGTCCACCTCCTTTGGGACCTGCTTGTTAGAATTTTCTCCTCTTTAAATTACGGAGCAGGAATAATCCTTTAGAGCTGATTATCCTCTCTGGGGTTAATCACTCCTCACAGTGATATGACCCCTATACTCTCCTCTCCATGCGTTTCTCCACATGCAGAAAACAAATGCCAGACATAGTGTTTTATCTTTTTAAAACACTGCTTTATTCCTTCCAAGTAGTACACTCACATATAGTGAAGACGGTATGCGGCAATCCAAAATGTAGCGTGTCCTCCGCCGACCATTGAGTCATGCACCTGCC